AGTATCCACAATGTTTTAAAGCCGAAAATAATGATTTCTGACATTAACAATGGTTGTAATAATAACAATAACAAATGTGACAATAGTGATCTTATAACGATCCAAAAAAGACACTCTCAAAAGATCCTTCACCTACAGCAATAAACATTTCTTTAACCAATTAAATTAAAATCAATCTGAGAAGAACTCGTTGATTAAGGTCAAAATAATTGGTCCGCAATTAGAGCTGGTCAATTTTGGTAGTCTCATTTTAAGAGCTGATTGATGTTTTGCTGCTGCTTGGTCTGCTCTTATTTATTTTGACCTTGCCAAATTAATTTTTCCCTCTGCTGAGGAAATGAATGTATGAGCCGAACTAACCAAAACACCTACTGGCTTGAAAACTATCAAATCACGTTTATAAGGAATATGGCTCATGTATCTCAATTTTTTAAACTTTTATATTTAAAATGACAAATCTGTCATTGAATTAGGATTTGATTACACGGCATTATCAAACTGTAATACTTTTTTTTTCTTCGGAATAATTATTAAAATTTTTAAAATAAATATTTTTTGCAGGATTGTTACGGTATTTGAACCCTGTGATGGTATTTCAGTTAATTGTAGAAGTCTTGATTTATAATGATTTTAATTTCTGATTTTGGTTTAATTTTTGTCACCATATCTGGAAAAATTATCGTAATCAATGCTAATTTTTATTCATATTATTTTAAATATTATAAATGAATATTATTAATTATTGGTGCTATTATTATGGATGTTATTGTAAACGTTGAAAGAGTTTTACTATTTATACAATTTTACAAAAAAATAAGCTTTCCAACATGTTTCCTAAATGGATTGAACAGATAGGCACTGATGAACTCATTTAATCATTCAGTATCGTATTAACTGTTATTTATAAATTTATGCTTGACGCTTCTAGCTACATTGAATGCTAGTTATTTTTTTCAAACTCTAGTGTACATTTTAGAAATTCATTAGAAACGATTTTCTAAATTTTATCTTGGAGTAAATTTTAAAAGATAAATGAGTAAAATTACATGAGTAAAAAATGCGACTTAGTGATGATAATTTTTCATACAGTGACAGAGCGTCGTAAAAATATTTTTAACCACACACACACACACAAACAACACTTATACTTAATGTATTTGAAATTGTTGTTGATGTTTGCAAATTGTTAAAATTGTAAAACGATACAAATTAAAGGGCGTGCTTCCGATCAGAGATTCTTAATAAATAGAACGCATGGTTTTTTAAATGTTGACTATATACAAATCGTGCGGTAGCTGCTTATGTGGCTTACAAAAGTTAAAAATATCCAACTCTCGTATTTGAGACACTCGTACATGCAGAGGATTTTTATGATAAGAGCTATCACCTAGCTCGCAAACTTAACTCTTAACCAGCAACAACACAATACGTTACTACATGTTCTCATTAGATAAACATCAAATATATAGAAAAATTTAATAGATTTATTCTATTTATTTAGCTTAATAAAAAATTACAAAATATCAATGAGGTACGTGTGTGTGTGTTTGTGCGTGAGTGCGTTTATGTCTGTGTGTACTGTGCGTGTATGTTTCTTTAAACTGAAAAGACGATGCATGTGTTATAATATATTAACTTGTATGGTTAGCATATAGAATCGATTGAAGATTAATATAAAAATAGAACCGCTCTGTACTGTCAACTTAACAGTAATTGTGATCATAATTGACAGTAGCATTACTAAGGTTTTCCCATTGTTCTCACAGAAATTGCACAACAGCTGATAAATCTTATGAAACGCTTCTATTCTTAATGAGTTATATATATATACAATTATACATGTATATATATGTATATATATATATATATATATATTAACTGAATTATACTATACTAATTATACTATACTATACTAATTGCTTATATACTAATTGTATTTGGATTTTTCTACATAAGAGCCCGTTCATCTGTTACAAACATTTACTTTTGTCGTGCATTTATTGAAGTGAATTGTTGAAATATATTTACCAGTTGATAATTATTTACTTGAAACATAAAGTAAGTAAAATTAAAATTCCATGTGAAAAAAATGTTATAATAATTTTAATTCATATTTGTTTCGGCAACTATAGTTTTATGGATTATTATTGACTAAAACGCAAGATTCGGCTACTCATTGACCAGGATCGAATGCGGAGATCCCCGCTTTTAACGTGCTTTAATAAGTGTATGATTAATCATTTTACACGCAGACATGATTGCAGATTACAGATTTCGAGTTTTGTATTTTTCAAAAAGTAGCTTAACACACAATGACAGCCATTGATTTATTTATATAATAAAAGTTATGTAAAACACGCTTGGTTTAATGATAGTTTTGGTAGATTAATCTCTCTGGTCGGCGGTACAAAATTTTAATATATGAATAATTAAATCTTTCACTGACGTCCTGAATTTTATTTCAAATGAAACTCTAATGACAGGCTACACGAAGTTTGAAGCCATGAAACGCGTTTATGACGTAGAACGATCTACAGGTTTCACAAAGCAAAATAATTTGAAGTTTTCTTTACTGAAAACATTTTTAATTTTTCGACAGAAAATAATTCAACAGAGAATCACGAACATGACAATATTACATTTGTTGAATCAAATCTTATAAATGCTTACGCCGTTAACCCATCCTACCAACATAACAATGGTTGGTTGTCTCGTTATAATTATTTATTTATTTGTTAACATAGGCCGGTATTTATTTCATTTTCATATTTAGCAGTAGCACCATTCAGAAAAACGCCAACCAAAGATGATTATAACCATTCAAGCGATAGTAACGCTTATGACAATTTGGCGATGAATGGTTCCGCCGATGATTCACGCAAACGCGATATAAATAACACGGACGAGAATGCAAATCCGAGCGATGCGAAGGATAAAAAAGAAAAAATGAAAACCGTATCAATATTTCAACTGGTAATTTTGTTAGTTTAGTTAGAATGATTGAATGTTTATTTATTTTTAAAAATTATTTCAAGTTAATAATTAAATTCATTTGAAACATTAGTTTCGGTTGCGGACC